GGCTCAGAGCCGGGGATGCCCGTTTCCATCCTTCGTCCCCGGACCCGGAGGAGACAGAAAACACGGCTCCCGGCGCGCTCCACCCCAGTTCCAAGTCTTCAGGTGCCACGTTATGACGCCCGACTGAGCACAGAAAGGGTAGCCGCAAGGTCAGCACTGAAGACAGTGAGAGGGGTCACAGCAGGAAGAAACTGGAGTACTGAGCAGGGCCAGGAGAGAATTTCATTGATTGCAAAAACCTCCACAGCCACCCAGTAGCAGAACTCAAATCAGACAATGGAAAAAAAAAAACAGGTATCGCCCAACACCCCGTTCCAGCAGTGACATGAGCAGCAATAACAGTCTTGCAGAAAGGGTATCTTTGCTGCCAGAACCCATCTGCTTTAGCCTCTTGCTGCTACCCTCCCCTCCAAAGACTCCTTTCCCTCTGCTAGCCCCCAAGACCCATGTTTGACTGTGCACCCAATCCCTCCCCCCTGAACAAAACCAGTGAAAGTTAAAACTATTTACACTTGTAGCCATTTAAAAACCCAATAAAATAAGATTGCATATGTCCTACTGGAGATGTGGGTATTAGCAGCAGCTACAGCTAGCTCAGTACTCTGCGTGCAAAACAAAAGACAAACAGAAGACAGACCAAAATACTGCACCATTACTAGGAAGCATTTGCTGGGGTTGGTGTTTCGATTGTGGCATAAGGCTTCTAGGAGCCGGCTCCTCCCCAGCCGCAGGGCAGGGGCATCTCCCCTCAGCCAGCAAAGGCCAGGCTCTAGAAGGATGGAAAGGATTCGTTAATCCAGACACAGCACATTAACACTGACGCGTTTCCATCCCAGTCAACACAAACATCTAAAAACCCGCTGCACGTTCACCATGTGAGTTTTTCCTTCTTTCCAGTGATGATGGAAGAAAAGGGTGTGTGTGAAGAAGACCTAAGACATAGATGCTGCTGTCATCACTGCCTCCTCCTCCTCTCTGTGCTTTGGCAGCTCAGCAGGTGCAGGAGAGGGAGGAGCCAGAGTGGCTGGAGACTCTCGTGCATTCTGCTCCTCCCCGAGCCCCAGCTCCACATCCATTTGCTCTAGCTCCCCCTGATCCAGTAGCTCAAAGTCATCTGCTTCCTCCTCATCCTCCGGTGAAGCTGCTGTCTCTGTCTCCACCACTTCGCTCTCTGACAGCTGTGCCTGGAAGCTCAGTTTCTCTTCAGGCTCGTTGGGGAGGAACTCGGAGAGGGAGGGCCCCTCGCTGGCCTCGGAGGACCGCAGCAGCGCCGAGAGGGTGTTCTGCACCGCGGTGGTGATGGCAGTGGTGACGATCTCCTCGCTCAGCGTGTTGATGCAGATGCCCAGGCCCGGGGCAGGGGCAGGCTTTGGCGCCGCGCTGTCTCCCACCACTTGCCCGCTCCCATTGAAGTGTGTATTTACAAAATGGAGAGGAGATGTGAGGTGAAGGATGGAAAGGCCAGAGTCCGCGGCCTCCTTCTCTGCTGAGTCCAGCTCACGGGCAGCATGGGCAAGCTCAGGGCCCAGAGGCACACCAAATGCGTCTTCATCACTCTGTGGTCCCAGGTCTCTGGAATGATACTCTTCTACAGAGGGAAACTCTGCCAGGTCCTTGGAAAACGACTCCTCTGGCTCACTGTGCAGGCTCTGCTGGTCCAGGTCTGAAAGGCACCGGCATTAAGGCGCAGGTCCCCTCACCTCAACCCAGGGCACTGGCACCTCCCACCACCTCCCCCCAGCTGACACACCAGGGCTCACTTTTGGGCATCCTCCCAGCTCTGGGAGCAGAGCAGGAAGGGGGTTGCAGTTATTCCCTTCTCCCAGTGGCACGACTCACATGGAGCATCCCTTTTCCTACCCTGTGCCATGTGATCTATCCTCAGAGAGGACTCCCTTCTCCAGCTCACACTCTCTGCATCTGGAGCCCTCCACTAAACCCCACAGGCTCAGGGAAATAGTGCTCACAGCACGTCACCTGCCTGTTCCTCCCCAGACACTCAAATGACCACATCCAGGGCATTACCTTCACATTCCTCACCACTAACCAGTCTTTCTCCTAGTCTGTAAGTCTGACAGGGCAGGCTGTTAACTTGTTTCACCCAACATCATATGTAGGTGTGTCACTGTATGCCATTATTTCTGGTGTATTTGTGGATGGCCTTGCTCCCTTCCTGGAGTCACAAGACAGCATTGCATTGCAGGGCAGTCATCAGAAGCACATGTACACTCAGGACCACCTCATGACCAGCAACGAAACCAGGGCATGCTGTGCTGCTATTACTGCCGCCTCCTTTCAGTGCTCTTTCCCCTGCAAATAGCTGGGTTGTTTCCCTGTCCTCCCCTTCAGAGGGCCAGTTGTTCTGGGCAAAACCACCCAAGGTAAGGAAGGTAGCCAAGTGTCCCATCACACACCTTCAGAAACATCTGTCAGCTGTGGGGTGGTCGCCCTTGAGACAGAAAAGCCCCCACTCTCCAGGATGGAAGCCTCCTCATCAGAGAGCTCAGAATCTGTGATTGACAGTGCCAGGGCAGTCTTCTTCACATCCACCTGCATGGATAAAGGCAGAGGGTGTCTGACTACTAGTGCTCCCTACAGGCACCTCCGCACAAACCAGAGCTTCCAGGCAGAAGTCTTTGTTGGAGGGAAAGCATGCTGCACAGGAGCAGTATGAAAGCAGGTGGAGGCTGGGCAAAGTGCTCATTGCACTGCAGGGAAGGACAGTCTCAGCTGAGTGGCCTCCCTGCAATAATTCACTGCCTGAAGCTTTGCCTGCTTTCTGTGAAGAACCTGAAAGAGCCAGCACAAGATGGGATCAGCCCATAGGAGTCTCAGAAGGCTTTGATCCTTCTTCCTCTCCTGGGATCACCAAGGAGTAGAACACCCCTCCTCTCCTGCATGATTCACGCTGGGCCCAATGAAGGCTTCCATAGGTAGCAGTGGTTCAAGTATCTGCATTCCTCTGGAAGCTGAAGCTTCCCACTTCACAGCATATAGCTATGCCCAGAGCTCCTGTAAATGAAGACACTGGGTCTGTTCCTGTGGTGCGCATATAGAAAGATCACACAGAGTCTGACAGAGCAGGGAACTGTATAAGAAACACTAGTGCTGCTCATCTGCCTTTTCCAGTGCTGAGGAGCACTAGTTCTGCACAACCAGAAGGGCTGGATTTCTTCAGGGGACACTCACATTCTCTGAGTGTGAAGCATAACCATCAAAGCAGTTCTGCAGGTCAGCCAGAGGCTGGAGGTCAGCTCAACCTGTCCTGCTACTGCATCACCAGCTCCGTGGCACTGCATTCTCAGTACCCAGACTGGAGACAACAGCCTTCATCAAACAAATACCCTGCTTGCCTTGGGATTCTGCAAAGAAGTGACTAGTTGGTCTGCTGTTTGTTAGAAATACAGCTGTACTCAGACATCCCTTGTCTCTTAAGATGCTATAGATCAGACAGGAGGGACTGGTTCTTGCTCAGCTCTTTGTGCTCTTACCACTGGGGAGAAGCCCGACAGCTCTGCCTCACTCTCACTCTCAGTCTCTGCTGTTGGCTCATCACCTGCTGCAGGCTCACTCTTCCCTTGTCGCTCTATGAGAAAAAGAAGAAAGGCTTTACATGAGACTGAAGGAACTTTATGCCTTTATACATCACTTTCCCACTACTTCTACTACCCTGTGAAACCTCACGTTTCCCAAAAGCCCAAGGTTCCCAGAGACAACTGTAATCTGTTGCTCTCACTTGCTACTCCCAGGATCACCTGCCCAGTTATCTCCCCATAACCCTCAAGTTTCAGTCTGCTTTCCCCTGCTCTGCTGCAGCCATTCACCACACAGTGTTGGCAGATGTGCTCTCCCCTCATGCCTTTGCTGGGGCTCCACCCTGGGAGTATAGCACCAGAAAAAGTTAAGGGTGAAGATGGGTTCTTACTCTTCTTCTCATGCTTGTGGTGCAGCGTCTCAGCCTTCATACTGTAGTCCAGTTTCATCAGGACAGGCTCCAAACGTGTGTACATCCTCTGGATCAGCTCATGGTAGACTACCAGAGGCCAGAGCAGAATGCTGAGCACTGGGGACACAGGATGCAGGGTGTAGTGAGACAGAGCAAGCACAACCCAGCCCTCCACAGGACACGAGCAAGAAAGTCTGCATCGAGGGAAGTGCAGTTGAATGGCATTTGCTTTCCTATCTGACTCTGCCTAAAATCCTCATCCATGGTTATTCTTACTCATTTCGAAGCTGCTTGATTAACCAGGTTTTCCTAACAGATCTCTGTTAGGATACAGATTTATGTTAAGATGAAGCATAAGCCCTCTTCAGCCACTGCATCCCAGCCCCAACATGCAATAGGGGTCCTAAAATTAGGTTATTAAAACTAAAAATCACCAAAACTTTTATAAGGATAGCAGCACAGAGCTCATATGTAGATGCACTAGCAGCAAACCACCTGAACAGTTAGCAGGGACTCACGATGCACGAAAAAGGTCTTATTACTAAACATGCAGGTTCTTTAACAACTCTCTCGGTATGGATTTGCCCACTCCAGGAACTGAGAGACTGCAGCTCCCGGTTCCCCTAGAGCCTCACCAGCACGCCTGCAGCGTGGGTAGAGGAGGAAAACAAGGTTTTTGGCGACAGCTCCCTCTCCTGACTCTGCGCTTGTACTGCATGTACGCATTTGAAGCAAGAGACTTCCCAGAGCACACCGCCTGTATTGATTAATCATCTCACAGAGATTCCCTGAAAACCCCCACGAATATGCCTCTACCAGCATATCAACAACACAGTTAGGTCATGTTTAAGCTTAAGTCAGACAAGAGAGAGCTGCTTATACTCACAAATGATGTAGGAGATCATTATGCCTGGAACATAGTGTCCAACTACAGCCAGAATCAGGCAGCCTGAACAGACACTCATGCAGAACTGAAGGAAGAGAAAGGAACAAACAGAAGTGACAAGAGATAGAAATATATCTATGCAACCAGTGCAGGAAACCCAGTTAGAGTAAAATGAGGGATGCTCCTAACAGAAGTCAGTACACCAGCTTTACACTGAGTACATTCAGGTGCTGACAATCACAACTCAGACAGCTTGGTTGGGTTACGAAGTAAGCATTAGAGAGTCAAGCGCAGGAAGACCAAGGTAACCCAAGACCCCAATAAAACAAATCAAAACTTTATTGGACAATTATTTATCAAGTAAATTAAGTTCCTTGAGGCTAGGATGGGATATTGCAAATTGCCATTTTAGCGTACATCTCTCCTGCAGAGCTCAGCACTTCAAGAGAAGCCTATACTGTCCTGACAGAGCCAGGAAGCTGTTATAGTCACAAGATGCTCTCCACTGCTACGCTACAAACCACCTGGCAAAAGCATTAGCTATGCTCCTACCAGACCAGGGCCTTACTCCTCTGGAAAAAGTGGAAGAATAATAATGCAGCCCAGATGGCTTATCCTGCATTCTCCTGGGGACAGAGAGAAGTGAGGACACCCTGCAAGCCAGGGCATGGGTTCAGTATTGACTAAATCCAGCAATGAAGTTTCATTCATAATGGAAAAGGTCTACAAAAGCCCTGTAAGGGCTTTGCTCCCAATGAATTCACGCTTTATGGGCATCTCTGAACTGGTCTCCTACTCACTATAGTTGGTACAGTGTTTTAACAGAGGAGGAGTAATCAGCAGTGATAGAAACCTACTCATTCTGGCACACTAGACCCCAAATACAATCCCTGTGTTTGTTCTGTCCTACTTTTTGTGGTGTTGAGGCAGCTCCTGTCCATAAACCCTTTCTACACAACACACATCAAAGCCATCAGAACATGGTTAATGACAAGTTTCCATGCACTCAGAAACACTGCTGCATTTGGACTTGGCTAGCTACAATCTTGGATAGCAAAACAGGTAGGACCAGCTTAAGAATGGAGCCTGTGGAAGGTGCAGAGACTGTAGCCTTGCTTTTTTTCTCCCCACTCCCAACCTAAGAGCTTCCTTTGCACGCTAAGAAATAAAATAAGTACAGCTAGCCATTCACAGAGGGGGTTAAGTTCAGCTCCAGTCTACAAATACTGGAAGCCAATTATTCATTATTTAAGCTTTCCATGGCATATAGTCTGAGATGAATGAACAGCAAATGTTAAATAGGGACAGCAATTGTATAATATTGATTTTATATGTTTCCATGTCCTAGGCCACTAGTAATGGAGAGAAAAGCCCCTGCACAGAAGAGTAGGTATCTCCAGCTTACCTTGGCAGGATTTTGCCTCTTGTACTGTAGCAGTTCCTGCAGGTACAGCCTGAAGGTGACCCAGCTCTCTGCCAGACAGTGGCACAGCTCAGGGACACTGAGCAGGTGAGGTTGTGCCCCTGAAGTCACCCCCTCACTAGAGACAGACAAGAGCAAGAAGACAATCTTTGAACACAGTCTGTTTTGTTGAGGGGAGGGAAGAGCTGCACTGGGAAGCAGAGATCCCTAAGAAAGGCTCAACAATACTGACTGCTTCTTCAACTGAACTATAGAAGACACCTGATCTGGAGATAATTTTTTCTTTTAATAGGAAGAGAGCCAAGAGACACCCGAGCCAAGCAAGCAGCAGCAGCAGCCACCATGCTACAGCATCCCCATGCCACAGTCTCACGATATAAGCGGTTTACTCAAAGCCACACAGACAGAAGTGCTGGAGGTGGAACTAGTTACACGGCCTCCTTTGGCACCAAGTCCAAGGTAACCAGAGCACAGTGCTCAGACCTATAACTATGGCTGAGGATGGGATGCAAGCTGCACCACCACAGACAGCACATGTGGCCTGCAAAAGTCAGTCTCAGAAACTTCCTTCTCTCTGGAGGATTCTTAAAATAGTTCAGAACCGATTCAGGGAAGAAACCCGAGAGTTCCCAACATCAGAAGTACTTGAGCTTAACTGCTACTGAAAGAACACTAGCCTTCTCCAGAGTCTTACACTGTGGCTCCTGAGCTGATAAGCAGCTCCCAGCACAGGAGAAACTGCTACGAACATTTCACAGCAGGAGCCATGCAATCTATCAACAACAGCAAAAAGGACAGGTGAGATCACACTGAATTAAGGCTTCTTCACTCTCCCCTCCCACCAAGGAACATATCAGTGAGCTTACCTCTCCCCTCCCAGCTCCTCTGATGGCTGTGCTGTAGAGAGAACAGAGCAGATTAGTCAGCCAAGTGAAAAATACAACCCGACATTTTTACCGCTTGAACAGAGCAGAGTTGGAGATGTACCATCCTCAGCGAGGGATGCACCCTGGGGACCTTCTGTGTGTTCTCATGCAAGCAGGAATCACTGGCTTGGAGTCTGAGCTCTGCAGGCTTCAGTGGAGCATGCCTGGAAACTCAGAGCAGCTAGAGCACTGGTCTTGGGATGCCCTGGCACACCTTGCAACCTGCACTGACAAACACGTGGCAGGACCCTCATGACTCCACTGCAGGGGTGACACAACTTGCCCTGGCGTCCCTGGGCAGCGCCATCCCCGGGGTAGCTGCCTAGCCCTATCATTCACAGAGGGCTGTCAACATGGTTTCTGAGCTGGGCAGAGCCTCAGCTCCTACCTCAGGGCTCAACATGGCACTAGCAGGTCTAAGCTGCACTTCCCACTGACCGGCCCAGACCACAGTCCCTGGCAGGATGCTGTGTACAAATGCCAGAGATCTATCTGCTGTCTCTATTCTTTCCAGGGGAATTAAGTAACAAATAGCAGTCTTGTGTCTAACTATCTAATTTTAGGAGTCTTTAATTCCCCTGACAGCCCTTTGTGCCAGGCATAAATATAACTACACCCATAAGGTCCAGCAGTCTGGATAAGAGCAAGAAAAAGGTTCCCCCATTCCTCTCTGCTCCAAACCAGTGATGATCAAACAGGGACTTACTTTATGCAGTACTGAAAGGAGGAGCGCTGTTTCAATGGCAAAAATCACATATGACTATGCTCTGCCTTTAGATACAGAAAGAAAAAAAAAACAAATATTTCCATGACAACTGAAACTCATGAGCCTGGCTGCCCACGGGATTTGGGTGTCCAGGCTAGGAGGTACAGGGCTAAAACAAAGCTTTCCCACCTACACAGTCTTTATAAGTCTCCTATGTTCAACAAGGTCCTGATCATGATGCGAAGACCCCTCGAGGTCTACCCTCTTCTACCAGTCAGCCTACTGTCCTAAAGCTGGTAGGGACAGATACATCTTTGAAGCTGTCTGGCCAACAGCAAACTTGGTCCAAGAGGTTCTAAAAATCAGTGGGACTCTATTCCCCACACTGCATGTCACCACATAAACAGGCCTAAAATAAAGGATTAGATTATGTTCAAAGTCCAGGCTAATTGTTAGAAATGGATTGAAAAACGCAACATGTGCAAAAAGGGGTTTGAATCCTCTCTCGAGTCATTAGCCAGATGCAAAGCCCAAGAGCCACAACGACTGCCCCAGGGAATCGCAAAGAGGAGGTGAACATCTGTCACTGTCAACACCCAGTGAGACCTCAGATTCCAGTAGAAGCCGCAGAAGAGAGCAACTGCTCCTGGCGGCCCTGCCACCGCTGTTCTCCAAGACACAGGATGTTGGACCAAGCGTGCCAGACATCTCGTAGCACTGCGGGTGCTGCACCAGCCAGCTCGCGCAGTGCAGTGGAGCGGCAGCCATCGCCCAGGGGAGGAGGCGATTCTTTGAGAGCGTGACCCAGATTTCCAGTAATCAGGCCTGACTGGAGGATTCAACTGCTCTCAGACTGGGCTGCCCACCCGCTCCTCTGCCCCAAACAAGTGTTCTGCTCGGCAGCGAGGGCACTGTTCACAAACAGAGCTCCGGGTGCAAAGCGAATACTATGGATGCAGCTTCCCCTCCCACGGCGTCATTGCTTCTCTCACGTAACCGCCATTGCTGTATTTTGTTACTGTGCTCAGGAATCTAAAGCTGCTTAATGACAGCATGCAGAAATCCAGCTGTATCTCAAAGCCTCATCTACTACCTGCACTAAATCACCAAACAAACTACATTTGGCACCAGCCCATCCGCACTGGCTGGCTATACTGGTTGTACAAGCTACAAAAGAGGTGCTGGGGTGTTCTGCTGGACAGATGTACCTGCACTATGGTAAGCAGGATGGCCCAGGAGCCCCACTCCTCTCAACTCGCTGCAGTAATCCAAGCCATCCAAGATATGCCAGCAGAGGGAGTGAAACAATTCTCCTCAGTTGCTTCTGAAGGTTTCAGAGACAGTTCAGGGAGCTGCAGAACATCTCAGCAGCTGCAGAGCATTCACGTGACTTTAACTAACTGGCAAAACACAAGCTGTCTTTAAAATCAACAGTGTCTTGCTTCCTGTAATCTGCCTGCTGGCCATCCCAAAGCACGAGGAAGAGCCCAACCACAAAAACCTAGGGTATTTCCAACAGGACATATTCACTTAGTTAAGGATTAACTCCAATCTGTGCTGCAGTACTTTCTAGCATTGGTACAACTAAGCCAGCAAGCAGGACACCCACAGCTGGCCTCAGATCAACAATAACCAGCTGAAATCCCACTGCTGGCATTTCACACCAGGCTGTGAATTAATACAAACCACTTGACATTCACCAGATTCTTCTGGGAGACCAGTCAGCCACACAAGAGTTTAGGTTTTATCTTGGTACTGAAAAATTACTGCTGATGGATTCCTTGGCTCTTACAGGTTTTCAACACTTCCCCAAGAGGCATTCTTCATCTGTGTGTAAACTTCAGCTAGAAAAGCAGGGGCCCTTTTTAAGGAGTACTAGCATTCAATTGCAACATGGCCTTTACTAGAGCTCTTCCACACTGAACACTCCTACACTGATCAAAACACAGTTGCCAAACAACAACACTATACAGAACAGCTCTACTTGATACCTATTTCAGGAGAAAGTGGAGCTGCTTCCTAAAGTCCTTAAACAATACTTAAGTGGAACCCCACATAAAGGTGGTTACAAATGGAAAAAAATACCCTGTGTGCGAGCTGAAAATACACAGTTCTTTCTGACAGGACATAAAAAAGTTGTGCATCTCACTGCTGTTAGTGCATCCCTGATCACAGTGTGTGAGTAACTGCAAAATACATGCTGAGGTTTTAGCATTCCTTCAGAAGTGATGTTATAAGCAGTCACCCAAGACATACAGAACTGCCACAAGCTGAGGTTTGTGTGTATACATGCAGACTCTTGAAGGTGTGGTACTGACCTACTTCCAAAAGCTCTAGGAAAGCTTTATAGGAAGCACTGGGGAGGAAAGCCACAAAGCTGCAGCTCTGCTTCAGTAGGAAGCGAGAGCCACACAAGAACCTGTAAGTATTCAGCAGTGCCAATTCAAGAGGAGGCCTCTCATCAGCACAGAGCACCACCACTCCTTCCTTGTGGAGGCTGAGGAAACATGATTCAGTGGACCATGTCAAAGTCAGGGCTGTGACCTAACCAGGCACATCAGAAAGGTGTCCCTGTTCTTGCTGTTAGCAGCAGTGAAATATGAGGAACACCACTGCAGCTCAGTAGGATAGGCACTGACTTCTTGCAGAGCTAACAACACAGGATGAGCCTAACCCCTAGTGTGTTGTTTTGTTTGTGTTTCTTTTTTATTCCTCACTGCTCTGCATCCTATAAATCGATTGCTGTATGGATTTCCTGTTTCTTCTGTGATAACACAACGTTTACAGGCCTGGTACTTGATGGAGCAATTCTACCCCCACCTACCTCAATGACACCATTCTGTATCAGACACCAGGCTTTTGCATTTCTGGACATGTTTCAAGTGAGATGTTTTGGGTTGGCTTTAAACTATTCCCTTAAAAAAACAATGCAAATAAGCAGGAAATTAAATTGGCCTGTCCAGTTTAGCTGCCTAGTTACCTGAACCACACAAAGTAAATAGTTTCAAGGCTACAGCTGAAACATATCTAGTCTTATCAGGACTTCTGTGAAAGCACCCTTTAAGTCAGTACCCTTTTAGATCAACCAAAAGGCACCTTACAAACACACATATAGAGGGGCTTTCATTCAGAAACCCTCCCTAGAGTAGGGGGGCAGGGATGGAGGGCCCCAAGCTGCCTTTGAACAGCAGCAGTAGATACAGGAGGCAGGTCTGGGTCCAGTCATTTAATAAACTCCAATGAAGGAGGCACTCAAAGCAGACAGCAGCCAATCCATGCCTATCATCATTATGAGGCAATTCCTCTGGTTGCTTTTGTGTCTAATGTTGACAGAGACCCTTCAGTAAACGGGAAAGATAAGCCAAACGATCAGACTCACTGATTAGCTGGACACCAGATGCTGTTCGGTACAGGTACAATACACTAACTGTCCCTGCTGTCAGATCTCATCATCCATGCTGCTACCTGTCACAAGGAGAAGTGGCTCTCATCTGCTCTGCCTCTTTCAGGGCATAAGGCCATCCTACACTTAAAACCAATCCACTTCAATATGCCCCATTTCCTTCCTCTGCCTCAGCTGGCCATATATGCTCAGACTTATAATGATCTTTTCACCAAGACATTTGCAGGAGAGAAAGGACACAGCAGAAACACTGCATCATCCCTGTCACCAGCTTCCCCGACAAGCTAGCTGGGCCCCCTTAGTCACTCTCAAAATGAGCCACTCCCAGAACTTCTCAGCACAAGGAGCAACTCTCCTCATGCCCAGAGTATTAGGATACATCCTAATTGGGATACATCCTAATACTCTGACACAAATAGGCAAGAGGCAGCACCAGTACCAAAGCCTGCGGTTACAGTAGGAACAGGGCTTACATGACCTATGAGAGAGCCAGGAAAGAACCAGCTGTGGCCATAGCCCAGTAGCAAGTAACACTGTAACTGTTGTGATTAGCTACAGTGCTAATCATCACATACCTGAGAAATCAAACAGGAACCTGGGCTTCCACCTCTCCAGCAAGAGGATGCCAAGAAGGGACATGCTGAGGAGAAAGAAGGGTCTCAGGGAGGTGGAGGAAAACAACCTAGAAATCAAATGAGAAATTGTTAGGCAGGAAAAAGGCAGCAAGTTACTGCTCTCAGTGAGCAAACAGCAACAGCTCAGAGTATGACAGAGCAGAAACATCCAACTGCTACTGGCCACTGCAGCAACAGTGTATTCCACAGACACCCACAGCATGTTCTAAAATGTTGCCTTTGCCCACCACCTGACAGCTGACTACCTACCATGTCCTAGCGCTCTCCTCCCCTGCTCCAGAGCTCCTCCTCCTCCGGTTGTTAAACAAGGCTAATGCTCCCTCATACAAGTACAAGTCCCTCCAAATCCTCAAGGTGGAGGCTCTAGATAACTAAATACAGATTGCTGTAGCTGAAGAGTGGTTGCAAATCAGCCTGTTTCCTGAAAACTTTTATCCTATTTGTCATCACAAGCTCCAGTGTTACCCACAGGTAGTGCCAAAACACATCCTGCACCTGCTTCTAGATTCCCATTCTTTTATCACAAACCTCTCCCTGGCACTTAAACGGTTTAGTTACTCACTTGGCTCTATCATAAAACCCTTCATGTCCCCCATCAACACATTGGCTCGAGCCAAATGCCAGCTCACACAATACTACTCGCACGTAGCCGCACAATTCCACCATCGAAGAGTTTATCTCCCCACTCCATATAGATTCGACAGCAAAGGTCCCAGGGTGCTGCCTGCGCCAGCAGCAGCTCTCTGCATTCCTCCCCCAGCTCAGGAGGGCTGTTTTTAAGTCTCTCCAGAGACAAATGCCAGAGAAATGCATTCACCCTCACCCCTCCAATAAGCACTCCTTTGCAGAAAGGAAGAGCCGCTAATTTTACCTTGCTCCTCTTCAGTGAGTATTTTCCAATAACTAATCTCAAATCTACCAAATAATGATTGGAGTCAGCATCTCACTGTGCAGTACAGTGAAGGGCTGTGCTTCCCACCAAGCCACAGCCAAAAGTAGAGTGGTTGGAAGCAAGATCTGCCTCACCGGGCAGCGCAGAAAGCAAGCTGCACACTTTCTGTGGGCTTAAAGGACCTATAATGACCTATGCAACAACTTTTTATCTCTTCTCATGGGACAACAATACTGTAGCTTAACATGTCAGCTCTGGAAGAATTTCCTCCTATTCTACCTCATTTATGGTCTGTAGCTGAAGGATGCTGTCTGAATCCTCCATGGGATCGTACAGACTTCCTCCCCCTCCATGATATTTAAATCTCTCTCTGCCGTCCCATATTCTGGGCACTCTCTGTTCTTCTTGACCTTTTTATGCCCAGCCCCTTAACCACCATTGTCTACTACCCCTGCCGTCTCATGGCATGCCTCTCCCCCTCCCACTAGCTTCAAAGCTCTGCTTTCAGACCTTTCCAGTAGTCCTAAAGCATTTAAGTACCCAGCTACCACGTACAACTCTGATAATCATATGGATGAGGGAGCAGAACATCAGCAGCCTCTTCAGAGTGACTTCAAAGGCTGCTTGGCCAC